TTCAATAGAGTTGTTTTTGTGTCGGAAGTTAGTTTCAATTTGAGTTCATTCTCCCTATCGGCAAGCGTTTTGGAATATTTTCGAGTAATTTAAGCACATTTTAAACACTGGACTGACATGTTTCGCGCTTTAACAGACAGCAGATAAAATCTCAAAACAATAGATAAACCTAGTGGCTTTAATTGGATATGTCAGAAGAGTAGCTACTTCTATAGCCTTATGTGTCCACTTAAGTTGTAACCCTTTAATTTTGTAGTTTTAGAAGGTAGCCAGAACCACTATTTTGCTCTGCAATGATGGTGGTCCACACGTTCTTTACTCTGTTATTGAAAATACTCAATTTATCATACGACTGTTTCTTTATTAGTCTATTTTTCAGCAGTTTGTTGATAAATTACAAAATACTATTAATTAGTAATTAGAATAATTCCTTTTGTGCATTTATTTACAGTGATCATGATTAATAATGTTTTAAATGTCTTCTCTCATAATTTCACTCACTGATTGTTGGATTATTAGTGTATGGACACATTTAAGGCGTAGTTTTGGTTGCAATTTCGTCACATTTTTCATAAATAAAGAAACAAATGCAGATAATGATTTAACTTGTTGAAATTGTTCTTTTGCGGGCGAATAATAACCCACCATACATTAGTACAAAAATAAAAAAACAGACAGTTGTTACTTTGATTAAGAAAGTAGTATTTGTGTTTACAAACAAAGTAATGAAGATTAATGATGGTGATGAGATGAATGGTTTAGTTTACAATGGATTGATTTTGATGGTAACAATGATAAGATTTTTGGCAAAAAGTAAAATGATCCTATTTTCACTCTTAATCATTTTTCGATGGTAACATTTGAAACAACAATATCAATGACCATCTTTCTTACAGACAAAAACACTTTTCTAATCAATGTGAGAACGATAGTAGTCTAAAATGACAATAAACTCTTGATTAGATCTCGTCTTACAATCAACCATTACTATTTCCAACTTTCATGACCTTTTGAAATGAAGGAAAAGTGATAATTGTAGACTTCGACTGAATTCATAAAATCACCTAGTAACGAACTCTTGGTTTCCTACTTGTTTTCATTTGTCACCAAGGTTGAGTTGAAACTGCATGTCTATTTGGAAATGGAAGTTGACATTACTGAGTGCTACAGTGAGAGTTGTTTTCACTACTCCATTCGAATTTCTTCTAGCCAGTACTATGAATCGATTATTTACACAAAGTGATAGACTCTTCTGTGATAGGCTTCGATTGGCTGAAAAATTTCGAGAAAGTGGGAGTTGGATACAGTAAATATAACCATTTTACATTGTATACAGTTGATAACACTTTCGAAGTATAAGCTATTCTTATGTGAAATCATTTTCTGAACAATGCACAGTTCTTCTCATGTCAGATGTTACGTTGGGAATGTTGAATAACAGATTCACTCTGATGTTAGGTGTTTGTTAATAGTCAGCCCTGTTGAAATGATTCAATTGGTATTTGGAGCTAGAGAAGATAACAGTGGTTGTTAAGGAATTGACCATCCAGTGTGTAAATATCGCCGTAAGCTGAGTTTCAAATAACTCAGCTGCAGTAAATATGACTGTGATTTCAAGGGATTCTTACCGCCTAATTTCAACCACCTACCATCAAACAGTGTATACTATGACGTCAAGTCATTTAGCATAGCGAGAATTCGGTAACGTAATTAGCATTTATGAATAGTCAACATACGATTGAATGCAACTAAGTGAATTCATGTGTGATCGTGATTGTACCCTGCTAAAGGATGATAAGCTGAGGCGAAACAACAAGTCAGTGATTCTCTAACTGACTATCACCCATGGTTACTCGAGTCTTTGTGAAATACCCACATAGATTATCTATGCTTCGACAGTTTCAGAGCACACCTGAAGTCCCGATAGAGGCGTCGACTGATCCATAGAAATGTAATACGAATTTGAGTACACAACCAGTGAATTCCCTAGTTCAGCTGTTAGTGATAAAACCAAGTTTAATTTCAATAGCTTATTTTCGAAGACATTAATCAATGATTGTATTGAATAACCGTATAGTCCAGCTCAACTAAGAGAGTATAGGAACAATAATCTAACCACAACTGTTATGTATGGTTACCCATAATTTGCATCATATTTCAGATTAAACCGTTTTCATATATCATCTATCTATTAATCTTTTTATCATGCTAACTACCCTATCGGATTTTATCCCATTCAAGCATAGGTTGATCGAAATGAAAACCAGAGAAGCGACTTATTGAATGGTAACCAAAATATCTAACATTCATATGCATTAGATAGATACACTGGATTTCGAATTAATAAACTCCAAATGTCTGTTTAATTTTTGTTGACAGTTGTGTAAACATTGTTATATGGTAATCTATGAAGAAATCCTAACTACCATTTGTTCATCAATTTAAATAACAATGTTCTTTTTAAATACCATTTACACTAACCAGACATTTATCTGCTTATGCAGTGTTGTAATCATATAAAAACTAACTCAGAAGATAAAGCATTCTTGCATCTTATTAACATGCTCTTATATATAGGATTTAGAAAATTCATAAAACCATTATCTAAATGATACTTACGTTTATGATGTGTTCATGATAGTTTCATGCTATCGTAAGGCATGTGTTTTTTCACACTACAAAATGTATTAGACGTTATGTCAGTGAATATTTATTTTGACATATTGGAGCAACCAAGGTATTGACAATCGATAGAAGACTCTCTAAACTACTAGAAACAATAGTCTAAAGAATTAAATAATTGAGTAAATTATTTCCATCTGTTGGTGATAACCGTTTGGTTTTACGATATTGTAAATGCCTGTTCTTACAGCAAGTCCTTGATTCATTGATGTGCAATAATACTCAGTTTAGTTTAGACAAATTTAACTGCTAATCAGTATCAATAAATCATACGAAAATTAGTGTGTTCAAATGTCGTTTCGATTTATCTTTGGTATCAAATAAATCCCCATCTGTCGCCTTCGTTTTCACAATTTCGTCGTATCATTCACTGTTCCCAATAACAAGCACACAGTTCATTAGCAGTTGCGACAGTTCTTCAATGCTCAATAACGCAACTGAATCCCAGTTTTTCCTTTAACATTTTGGTCAGTGTTGTTGTCGTTAGTAAAACGCTTGTTAACCCGATGTCCGTAAAGTTTATTTTTGAAGACGAAATCGAATATCATTCGTAAGTCTTGGTGAAAGCATTTAAATACAATGCACTTAAATTCTTAGCAGTATCAGAATATAAATTTCTTAGTGATAAAATTTTCAATTACAACTATACTAGTGTGGCTAACAGTATTTAAAATCAAACTAAGATATAATCGTCAGATGTGAATTCATATCGAGTTATTGTTAAGGTTTATCTAATTAAGTTGACCATTTCCAAAGATTAGATCCTGCATCAATAGAAACAAATTATTTCTATTGATAGATTTGATTTCCGATCTTCAACAAACCAATGAATTTTCCTTTTGTTCAAGTGTGCCAATCTAAAGAGCAGAGTGACAAGAGGAGTGCTCGCAAACTTTTGCATGATTCTGGTCTTTGAACTGTAGAACTATATTCATGGATTGTAAGAGACAGATGACTTGACAAATCATAGATCTTACCAAGTACACAACTAAAACCAAACTGCCGACTAACCGCTGATTGCGTTTGAGTAAGGAAAAATGCAGCGAAGTACGTTTATAACCAGGACTATACAGTAGTATTGTGTGATAATTGTTTAATAAAGTTTCTCTTAGATAAATGTGAAAGAACTAGACAAATAAAATCGAACTGACCGATTTCATCATTTTTGTAACGTAATTTCTCAAGAGTAATGACACTAAAATGACTTCATTGACAACTTCGTACGTATGCACACCAGTTCAGGTTGCGATATCTCATTAGCACAGACACTCAACTGTCAGTTCAAATCCCATAGCGATATTGGAAGTATTAGCCGTAATGCAGAAGATTAGGGTATAACTCAGTGAGATGAAGTTAGAAAAAGAAAGATGAAGATGATGAGGAATTCAGAAGATTCGGATTTGACAGAACACAATGAGTAAATTCGCCTGAGCTATTGCAAACGATCTTGAGCCATGTCGTTCAAGGTCTCTAACCATCGTTGACTTTTCTCTCGCGCACCCCAACCAGGTAGGCTACATCAACCAACATGACTCAGTCCACTTGTCAGTGATTTCATGGATTTGTACTATGTTTTGGTTTGGCCAGGCCCCTAGCTTTCTTCCAACCTACTCCTACACCACAAAACATTGATCGTCGAGGCAGTTGGTGTTTGGGCATATGTAACACATGTCCCAGCCACCTCAACTGATGAAGTTTCAATACTTCATCTATTAATCTACCATCCTTACCTAGTACTCGTTTCCCAACGACAGCATTGCGTACTCGGTTGTCCCAGTATACACAAGCAAACTCATGACATATCCAAATCGGTATCTATTTCATTGTAAAGAACACTGTAAAAGAAGCTTGATGGTTATCACCAGGTGTCATGATGCATTCAATTGTAGATTTTAACTTGTGAGGCAATTAAATGGTGTCTCCTTGATACTGCACATGTTTACAGGAATCAATGTTTTCAGTCACTTTCCATGCCCTTCAAATTCAGTAGATCTGTTAATATTCTTCTCAGGTAAACATGACTAACAGTCAATCATGTTGAGTTTTAAAACATGAAACGACTTGAAAATGATAGGCATTAGTGAGTTAGTTAAATTGAAGTGGAAACATACTATTTCATTTTGTTTCAGCGTTTCTATTGTTAATTTCTCAGAGATAACGAAATTATTGTTAAGAAACAATTGATGTACTTCAATGTTTAAAAAACCATATTCGTTTCGTTTCTGCGTCTGTTTTGAGTGTGTTTATGACGCTAAACTTGAATATCCTTCTTTCTTTTATCCGACTAGCGATGATCACAATTTCAATAATTGCCGAGTGGTCAACATCAATGAATAAAGATAACTTATTAAAAACACTGCAACCACGTGATGGATCAAGAGTGATCCTCCGTAAATTCGCTAAAAATATTTGTATCTGTATGCATCTGAACGGGACAGTCTACACAGAGGTATGCAACTTTCTTACTATGAGGTCATTTTAAAAATATTTTAATAATTTGAGAACCATTCACTTTGAATAGAAAAAAAAGAAACATCTGAATTCATTGTTACGAAAATGTAGAAGATAATAAACAGCGTTTATAACTAATCGATCCTAACTGGATAGACACTATAATCCGAGAAACAATGAGTGCCGTTCCATTTTTATTTAGCCTCTTAGTTATGTTATTTAGATGCATAGTCAGATTTAAACGGTTCACGAAGAGTATTGAACATCTTTGGTAAGCTTTTTCTTACTCTTGCTTAAATTTATTTTATAGGTCATAACTTGTCATTAGCATTTCGGAAGATTCATGTGGAAACAAGTTACTAGTAGGCATTGATTTTTGAGTTATTGATTGAGGAATTTGAGAAGCTTAAATTTGTTTGATAATGGAGTATAAAGCTGACAAATCTCACTCATCTGATTCCATAATAATCGGCAACTGACATCGTGTTTGCTGCGATATATGAAGACCGTTCTCCCGCCCCCGTACTTGTGTTTGTATTGACACGGTAGTTCTAATCCTCTGTAAAAACTATTTAAATACACCAAAGTAGCACAGCTGTGTGGTTTATCTCTCTGTCTGGGACCAACACACCAAAGATAATGTCACTTTACAAGTATTCAATTCCATTAACTACTTCGTCTACCACTTGAACAAGTTGATCCATTTTGTCCATCCATACATTATCATCTCATTCTCCCAAGGTGAAGCATGAATGCAATGCGTTCTTTAGGTGTTTGAACCTGAATCTCAGAAAACTCGATCTAAACACTTTACTCTTTAAATTGGACTACATAGTCTATATATTTTCGATGTTCATTGGGTCTCCAATTAGGTTATCAATTTCTGAAAAACTGACTAGGGTGAACATTTATAATGGATAGTATTTGTTATTCCCAGGTCCGATAACAAAGTTTAGCAAAACTCCAGAAGACTTGACAAGATCAATAGGGAATAGAAGAGTTTGAAATAGTTTACTAGTTTAATTATTTACACACGCATTATCCATTGAAGTTATATCATAGAAGTTGCTTATGCTATGTACATGCACTCATCATTTGTTGTCTTTTTTGCACAGCGTATTATTAACCAGACATTAACCGATAACTGTGAATGGCACCTTAGAGCATCAAGGCATGGGATAGGCTTTGAGCGTGAACTAACTGAAGACGATATCATCAATGAATTCCCGAAACACATCCTTTCTAATCCATCTAACAATGCAAAAATCTATGATGGAAGATCTCCAACATTAAGTGTAGTTGATGAGAAATCGCTTATGTTAGCTTCCGGTTGGACTCATCAGTTATGGGAACCTGAAGCAACGTGGCAAGTTTATGGATTCCAGCCAAAAGGATTATTAGCTGTTATTGAAGCACAAAAAAACTCTTCAAGTTACCAGCGATTCGTTTCAATCGATAAAGACGTTTCTAACCAGTCATATGCAAACAACACCTTAACAACATCTCCACCATCCTCAAGTAATACTGTAAAAGTAGGTTCACAGCAAGTGATAGTTTTAGAAGCGCCAGCCTATTACTTCAATACACTCCATCATAAAGCAAAACTTAAGTATTGTAGTATACTGAAAAGCAAACTTGCGAAACTTGTACAAACGGAATTACTTATGAGTTTGCAAATTTTAACTAAATATAGGCAGGCTTTTCAGAGTTTCATGCTTCTTATCCATAATCATTCAATGACTAATCATGAATATAATATTAATAACGTATCATCAAATACTGTAGCTGAATTACTAGATCAATGGTTAATGCTTTTGGATTATAAATGGCGCCAAACAATTAGACATGTCTACAAAACAGATTCAGTGTCCAATTACCAAGTAGATAATTGTTCGTTGAGTTTCAAATCATCATTTGAAATGAACACTGTTGGTAATGATAGTGATGATAAAATACTGGTTAAATTTTATGAAACACAACTGAAAACAAAAATATATTATGGTCTGTTTGAAATTGTACAAGATATAGTCGAGTGGACTAGTGAGCAAAAACGTCATTGGCTACAAAGTCCAAGAGTTATAAAACTATTCCAATATTTACATATTAAATGCCCATCATCGAAAAAGTTGAGGCAAGCCTCATTTATATTAAGACAATATCTACCAAATTATTCACCAGAAGTCATTCATTCCAAGAATAATTTTCATTTTGGTCTTATGGGTGATTGGAAACCGGAAACATTTAGAAAGTTTTTAGTACACGATGTTAAATTAGCCAACAAAGTAATTGATCGGGCTGTTTATATGAAATTTGAGGAATATTATTTTTGGCCGATATTACGACGTGTGAATACGAAAACGATTGTGGAACACTCGATTTTATTTGACAATGATGTACGAAACGAAATCAGACAAATGACTCCGAATAGTATCTGTTATAAGCTATTTATGAGGAACTGGAAATTTTATAAAGAAAATTATTCACCTAAATCGTGCTTACACTAATATCACTTCCTATATTTACATATCTTAATGACAACGTGTCAAACTACTTTATAGTAGTATATATCTTTCCACTAAAGTTACAGATTTTCAATGAATTATTTGGTTGTTCATTATTATCGCAAGCATCATATCCATGGTTTTTAACCAATTTCATACATTTCAGTCAATTCCTTTTTTATTTAGAAACGAACTGCAATGCATTTAGAACAATTATCATTTTTTTGTATTCAGAACCATTACTATACGACTGGTACTAGGATTACTGATATAATGTTGGACGAGGACGTTTACAACTGATACTTCATCACATGTACACATTCTTTTGTATAATAAAACATGTATATATATACATATATATTACACACATACATATTCAAATTATACAAATATCTACATATAATGTTGATATTTGAAATGCTCTCATTCACAATTATTCAGTAAATAGTTGGAAAGTGATACTTTCTCGATACTATGTTCGTGATTATATTGTGAAACCAAAAAGAAATAGGAATATAAACTGAGAAATATTGAATATTGAAACTTTTTCATCTAACTGTTGTGTTTTTGTCTTATTTGCCTTCATTTTTATACTACGATTATTATGCCTTGATTATGTTTGTTGTACACAATTATGCGTTATATACACATATACAAATACACATTCTGAGAGACACAAACGAGTAAGTATACTTATATTCAATATGTACACTAATGCATTAACAATGTTCCTTCTTCTTATTGTTAATAATAAATGAGAACAAAACATCTGATGGATAAAAATTTACTGAACTTTTCGATCAACAGATTTTCGAACACTCATTTATAATCTTTTTCATCCGGAAAGTTGTCCATGCTATACGTTTATAGCTACCTAAATTTTAGTGGTGAAAACTTCTCTGTGCTGAATGATTTATTTGGTAAGATTTGGCTATCGTTGTGGACTATAGTATCAGTCTTGTGTTCTGCGGTCGTCCGATCACTTACAGACATACACTCCATATTGAGTCCAGCCTGGTATATGAAAAAGAAGAGCAAGAATTTGTAGGAAGCTGTAACCGAAAACTGAATCAAAGTGCATTCAACTCATAGGTATGTAAATATACACGTGTCTCTCAGACACCTGAAACATAAATTTAAGTAGCTACAATCAACAGCGTGTCGCCCTCCCTCTGCATCTCTGATTCAACATTTGGCCTTCGGATAGCATGTACACACAGAAACGCAATACTTCTGGATTCGTCCATCCTGTCACTCGGGTCTCAACTTTAAAGTATCGATCTGAACTGCCGAGCTTCTTTATTATTTCATAGATATTTAGTGTTTCGAATACGTTATTCATTGTATGATGGAAGAAATTATCTTTACAAACCATCGCTCCACATTTATTGACCTTGACTGGGTAACACTATTGATCATCGAATCAGCTTATTATGTAGCGTAAGTAGCATCAAATCGATTTCACTTTACTGTTTCTTCTTTGTACGCCTAGTGTCTCATGATTGAATATGAACCTGTTTTCGTTAGATAAAGATTGCGTACAATCTGATTGGAAAAAACTGAAAATATTCGTTTGTAGTAATGAGTTATGACTAACCTTTATTAGACACACTAAATAAATTCTGTTTAATTTAGGAAAAAATGGTTTCTTTTCGCTTCAAATCATCTTTTGCACACCATTTCATAATAAATCTAACAGGGATTTAGACGGATCACTGTATGAAATGTTATGAATTAATACAAAACAATTATTCACATTACCCTGTATCAAGATTTGGAATTATATATATAGATATATATATACCACACTTGTCTATCAGCCCCACGGCAGAATATTCAGACTCTGTATTGTTAGTGCTGAAATGTACGAAACTCGCAAGTGATTTTGAAGAAATTATCAGAGCCGAAGGCAGGCAAGGTTGAAAAATGAAACTCATCACTAAGAAATAGATGACGATATGTAACATTTAAACGTTTTTGTGTACAGATAACATTCATTATAACGGCATGCTTTCCAATTTTTGGAAAAACTCAGTTATTACTGTGTTATTCACTTTCACTTGTTTAGAAATTATGAATAAGGAAATACAGTCTTATTTAGCTCTGATTTCATCTTCATGTTGAATATGAGTACGGATTTCATTGATATACTAAGTACAGGTTTAAGTAATCGGCCTTTAGTCGTATTGTTTGCGTGAAGACTAATTATATCGCCTATCTGGCCAAATCAAACGGGTAAGGAGGGTTCGGACGTGAGACATATTAGTTTGAAGCCAAGTTCTTCAATTATTAATTTACCAAACAGGAATATGTCCGGAGGATACGACTGTTCTTTGCTAGTCGAAAGTATGAGCTTGTAAAATCACCTCAATACGTAACATCAGGAACATAACTCCCCCTTGTCAGTTGCCTAAATCGAACTGTCCATTTGTAAGTTTCAATTTACTCACTTGTCAACCATTTTAGTGAAACCAGCTTTATCTAACCTATAGCACATCACTTTACGAAATAGACATTTTATCACGTAAATCAAAGATGTTCAGTTTTCTTGCTTTAATTCACCTTCATTATGTTTAATTGGACATCTACACAAACCCTTCTTCTTGATATTGGACTAATTTCTTTCAGAAGGAGCATTACCAACCTACGTTTCAATATTAATGATATCATATCATCATACTATTTAGAGCACCCTAAGGAGCTTAAAAAACTGCCTGTGACCTTCGTAATGACTTAGATTTAAACTTTTAATGATCAGTCATATAATGGTTCAACAGTAGTATTGATTAGAACACGGAATCAGGGAGATATGGTAAATAACTACTGGCGTAGTCTACTCTTTTATTACTGACTTTTATTACTAAGCTAGTTTCCGAACATTAACAGGCATGGAGTTTGTCCAATTAAAGAGGAATCACTACTTTAGTAAAATCAAAAGCCGATCTAAGTAAAATAACTATTATACACCAGGAGTCACCGGACGGCCGCTCCATCCTAGCACGGGACTCCCCAGCTATGCATACCCGCGACCCGATGTCAGGAATCGAACCCGGGCCTTCGGTGGTTGTATAACTTGGATCACTTCACGACAGCAATACAACTCCACATTTCTACAACCCTAGGCTGAGAGACACTATTCGTTTAACACGTGACTGTCAGGTTCCCAATGTTGCTGAACACTATTAATTGGAGAAGATTAAAGATCAGCCGAGCTAAAACGAAAGATTTCGATAAAAATAACCCTAACCGATCGAAATCTCAACAGCTCACTTCTCGTAAGCAGTGAAAATGTATTGCAGACTTCCTCGTATCAGCTGTTTAGCAAGAAATAATCCAATCATTCAGCTTTTCTGTCTAATCAACACGTAGTAATTTCCCTTATATCTCACATTAATAGAGAAAATTTGTTGAACAGTGCTGCTATTCATAGTCTTGTATGTGTCGCCTATTGATCGACGTAGGAGCTAACACAAACCTATCAGTGACAGTAAGAAAAACTAGACAAGAATATAGTCTGAGTAAAACAAGAGAATAAGCGGTCTGATATAGGTGAAGATAAAAAAATGAATACATACACACCATCGTGGCCGATTTTGATCCACTTCATCCGTTTCTAATCATTAAGTTGGATTGACCACTGTTATTCTTTTCACACACTAAACAGATCCAAAATATCATCTTGAATGTTGCTGTGTTCCAGATGTTACAAGTGAGTCTATTAAGAAAATAATCCTTGCTTACTTATACTTCCACCTGTTACCCCTAATGGAGCATAAGCTGCCGACTAGCATTCTCTATCAAAGTAACTCTTACTGCAACTATAGTCGTGAAGTTTGTTAATGGTGACCTTCGACACAGTAGGCATACACTTGTGCGAAGTAAATGCTATATGATATTACAGTTAGATAGTCTCGTCCAGCGGGTGAATGAATTACAAAAACCACACCCTACAATCGCCCGTATTTTTTGCTAATATATATTCATGCATTTTGCATGAATATTGGTACTTAAAAGTGTGGTATAACTAGGTTGAGAGCGTTATGATCACTGGCTAAACATACTGTATATTAACGCAGTTCATTTCAAAGCATCGGCTCAATATATGGGTTTTTTGAATGAATGTCAAATACGCTGCACATCCATTAAAACAATCAATCCCACTACTACCAAAAACCAACATACCTCATCCATAACATTATTTCTGAATATGTTGGTGGATGTGAAAATCATAAAGTTCTTGTCAAGTCCATTACAAGATGTCAAACCGTGAACATGAAGCAGTCTCAGTGGTGAAACCAAAACTAAGGTCTGCATTTTCTTTTGAGACCACATTACTAAATGACTTGATACAACGATCGAAACAACGCCAAATACTTGAGGGCTTTTATATATTGATTTGAACATATAAGTATTAGCACAATGAGACACCTAAATAATTATGTGACAAGCAAATTAATGAATTTTTATGTGAGCTGGGACACTACTCGTATGCTCAAACCGAAACAGGTAGTTTTACTAGGAACTACTCCCCGAGCTCTTGACTTAGAAGTCTAATCCACAAAGGAGTGAAGTAACGTTAGAGGATGCAGTCCCTTTTTAGCTGGTAACTTTACGTAGAAGACACTAGTTGGCCACAATATGCTATAGTAAATCGAAATAACTACAATTATTCACTGGATTCCTAATGTAAATCCCGATAGTATGGAATTCAAAGAAAAGACGATTCTAGATGAAGATCTATGTTTATTGCTAGCCTCGTGATATCGAAATAATATCGAGGTATCGAGAAGGTACACAAGCGGCTGAGAAACAGCTAGGATAAGAGCGGAGAGGGAATAACACGCTTGGCTCGCGAGAGATAGTGGTTAGTACAGATAAACAAAAGGAGTACAATATGACAGTTATTGTTAGAATTAAGTACAATAAAAAAATGTTTATATTTCAGCAATTGTGTTTTCGTAAGTTGTGTACCACTACAAGCTGATCATCGATGCTTCCAAAGCGTTTTTCGCATTTGTTGGAACAATCGAGTGGGCAACACTGAGGTTATCAAACAAAGATGATAAACTGGTTAGCAAGCCTGAGACGGTTGGGGTATGTATTACATATGCAAAACAACCGCCTAACTCGGCCAAAGTAGGAACGGACTAGAAAAGAACCAGGAGAAGCCAATCCAAAGTAGCCTACCAGTCCATAAAGTCAATGTCCGTCAGACTGACCCATAGCATTAGGTTCAGACTATCTAGTTCTAGTTTGTGCGTTAACTGATAGAGTGAGAGCTCTTGGTAAACTGTCATCCGAAAAAGCCATTGAAGAAGGTGCATGTTTTTGCATGAAATATACATCATCAAGCATCTTTTTCGTTCAGACTGATATCATCAATTGGGTTTGTGAAAACCAATGAACATTGAGTTGTTGTTTCGTTTTTGTTTGAAACTGTTCAGTAATGCTCACTGATAACCTCAAGTATGATGAATTTAATAGAAGAAGACACTTGCTTAAGAGCATAGCTTGCGGTTTTCAATGATTCTCCAAATGATATCAGTTCATGAAGTCCTAGTTTCAAGTGATGTAAACAATTCTTCACAAATCCACTATCTTGTTAGTGTAAGATATTTATCATTGAAAGAAACAAGAAGATTTTAGATAGATGAGTTGAAATAACACCGGAAACAAATAAATTAAAGTTAGCAAGCAAACAAAGACAATGTG